CACACACACACACACACACACACACACACACACACACACACACACACACACACACACACACACACACATTAAAATCACACTCTTATGACAATTTTCAGATCGATCCCTTCTTTCTTCCGCGACGCCTAACGAGAGATGTCTGTCAACTTTTTGGAAAATGAGCCCATCCTTTTCAAAAATGTTCCTGTTTATGAATGGAAAAAATTCATTTTCCAACATGACGGAGCTCATACGCATTTTTCGCGGTAGATTACATTTTATGCAATCATATTATAGATGTTCAGACACTCGCATAAATTTTATCGAATGATCATTTAAAAAATTAAGACTTTATAAAACAGCAATTGTATTATTGTTTAAATATATTTTAAATCGCTTGTATGCAATACATACAATTGCAATACTAACAATTGCAAAAGCTTTATAAAGTAGTTTTAATTTTGTATGTCAAAAAATATTGTCTTTACTCCGTACAATATTCATAGTATAATTAATAAATTTCAAAAATTCGGTTAGAGAACATAAATATGATCTCATGCTGATGTATGTTATCAGCCTATTCCTATAAGTGGGGGATAGACTAGCAAAAACTTTATAAATTATTTTCAATTCAATTTTCGCACATAAAATTAAAAATAATTCATAAAACTTTTGTAGTTGCTAATATGAGTACAAGTGATCTAAAATATATTTCAAAAATAATACAATTGTTGTTTTATGTTTTAATTTTTTACACGATCATTCGATGAAAATTATGCGGTTGTCCGAACTTCCTTGAGCGGTAGAAAAATGCAGAAAAATATTATTCTAGTGCTAACAAAGAACCCAATTTTTATTTCTCTTCTTTTGAGTAATGATTATATCATTATAATGAAAATTTTTTTGATAATGTAATTTTAAAATACTCTTATTATTTATTTGAAATAAGTAATATTTATGTAACATTTTTCTGTATGTGCATGTGCACGTTTCAGAACGAACTAAACTGTGAGTTTTTTTCAAATAGTTCTTGATCATTTCCCAATTTTCGCAATCGAGATATTATTTCTGAAGCGCCGAAGATCCGTCATCGATAGGGCGCGCGGGGAGTGAGACGAGCCTCTAAGCTCGAACGGCGCGGCATACCTACTAAGTCCATCCCCTCGTCGCGGCCCCCGCTCGGTGAGCCGTACCTTCGGTAACAGTAAGTCAGGCGGACGTGCGTATTTGACTATCTTTAAATGTTAATTATTACGAGCATTGCAAAATGATAGATGACTCAGTTTAATGCGCTCTAGCTGCTCAAGACAGGTGGGACCATAAGTTGGACTCTGTATATTAGAAACGTTCTTAAATTTTATTAATCTTTAATGTTCACTGATGAATAAAATTTAAATTTTCTGTGATTGAAAAGATTATTTATGTATACGTTAATGAGATATTTAAGTTTGTAATAACTGAAAACTTAAATGTATTGAAAAAATACTAATTGAAAATTGAATATTTTATTTTCATTAAACTATCCATCAAATTTAATGCCCATGTTCATTACATTAAAAAAATCTTACAAAGAACTTACAAAAAAAGAAACCCAATTGTTCCTCTCCGATTTTAATAAGCAGTATGTTATTCTCCAGACAAAAATAAGTGATCTCAAAAAAAAAAACCTCATTCAAATGCGTCATTGTACATTGGAATAATACATCTGGATTTACAATGTAGCGGCTATTTACGCGAGTTATAATTTCAGTGTACATGCATTAACATGTCGAAAAATAAAACTCCGACTAAATATAGCATAAAACGACGCGATGAAGTGTGTCTCGAAGCGTAATTAAACAGAAATATCGTATAATAAAGCAAGCAGAAAGGTATCGCGACGATCAGCATACGCTTTGCGTAATGCTCTAATTAATTATATCGCTTAACATATCTATAATTGTGTTAAACTGTATTTAATCGTGTTAAATAACGCGATTTATATGATGAAGAAATGTATAAGGAAAACTTCAGCTAAAATAACATTTTTGGATAATGTAGGCACGATGCGGCGAAACACATAGAACTGCCATGCCAGACTGTGCTAGGCAACGAAGCGCTACTTCTCTCTCCCTGCCGCCGCCCCTGCCGCCACCCCTGCCGCCGCCGCTCGAGTGGGCCTACGAATTCGCGCGACGCGGCTTAATCATATATTGGCTTAAACATTTCCTTTTCTAATTCGAAAACTATAGCGAGTACCTCAAAATAGAATTTTTTGTTCCCTTTGATCCATTCTCCATCCCCAATGTGATTCGGACCCATCTTATGAGACACCTTGTATATATATATATTAAATTGATAAGAAAAAAAATTTTATTTTAATCGGTCTCTTAGCTCTAAAGCTTTCATTTCATACCAAAAGAACGCTTTTAAATTTTTATCAAAAAATATTAAGATTATTTAAAAGTGAATGATTCTTAAATCAAATGTCGATTTTCCTTAATACATATTTGATTTGATGCCAGAATGGCTTAATTTAGATTTTAAATGTGGTATTATATGTTTTTTTGAACACTCGCTGAACACGATACAATAATTCATTTAGCTCTACGATATACACCTTTAAAAAAACAATTCAATTAATGTGAAAAAATGATCAAATTTCATAGTCGATTTTAGTAAGATTCCAAACATTTTAATAGGTCATTACTCTTCTCAAATTGTAGGTCTGTTCATCCAGAACAAGATCCAGTAGAAATTTTCTCGAGACCTTCTACAGGGCCTTTAAAAGTTGCATTTAACTGGATTATAAAACGTTTTTAAGGAAACATTTTTAGAAAAAAATTTTTTGATAAGACTTAAAATATATTGCTTTGACATTTTGATTCTGACATCATCAAATCAAATGCCTCACAATTTGACGACAAAAACTCTTTATTAGAAAATCAAATGAATAAAAAAAGATATACAATTGCGATTGCGAATTGCCAAGTATATACGCCTACCGATCACTTGGCGCGCGAGCCATAAGGAACGGGAATAGCCTGGCAAGCGCGCCGTCCGAGTTTAGGCTATCCCTGCTCTCCACGGTCTGAGCGTGTTCGAAAGTGTTCCCTATTTTTTATTGAGTAGTGTATAAACTTCGGAAAAATAACATAAAAATTGAAAATTTAATTATTTAAACAAAATCACATCTGTAATTTTCAGCGTCATCAGTTTCATTGCATTCTCATTCAGAACGCAATAATAAAATCCCAGTCGACACAAATTAAAAATAACATAATACCAATGTTATAATTTCGCACTCTACTCTCAATGTAACTGTTTTATATCATATGTTACATTACATTTGTATTGTGGAATACGAAATTACGACATTGATGTCATGTTACTTTTAATTTGTCGACTAGGCAGATTTCATATCTTCCAAATGCAAATAGTGCACTTTTCATTAGAAAGAAATTATCCATTTCTCGCCGCTATTTGAGAAAAATGATTATTCAAAATTTTTTAAATTTTATTTAATAAATAATAACTCAAAAGATGCACATAATAACATACTTAAAGTATGCACGATTAAATAAATAAGAATACTTATCGTCTTAAGTTCTGGGTGTCAAAATTACTATCAAAATACATATGTAATTTCACTTTTTCTCACTTTTGCCATTAAGAATATTTTATTACATATTTTCAAAATGATAATAAAATTAGATTATTCTAAATTTCGCCGCGGTAGTGATTCTATTTATCGGAAAAATGCTAAATCAAAATGCGCACAATTACCTTACTTTCCTGTAAGTATACATATATACAGGATGTTTCTAAAGTCTGATCTTACTCCTAAATCTTGAAAATGACTTTAGATATGGAAAATTGTTTTAGATAAAAATTTTAGAGTATTAACAGATGAAAATATGGACCTTGAGTTTTAAGGTCAGGTCAATGTGATTTTAATATTTTTTTAAATTGAATCCCTCCTCCCATTTTTTGGGTAATGCAAATACCAGCGGTACTGTAACTGTGAAACCTCATTTGGAAGATACTTAATAAAAAATAACATTATTAGCAATTTGAAAACATCTTGACAAAAGCTACAAGAATATGCAATAAAAAATGGGAAGCTTCATTCACAAAAACATGATCATTAATCTTGAAAAGGTTACTCAAGATCAAATTCATTTACTATCTTATATATTTGTCTTTATTATCTTATATATTTGTCTGAAATGTATCTATACCTAAACTCATTTCCGAGAATGGAGTTCTAGAAATGAGACACCCTGTGTATATATATAATAACAAATCTATTATATTTTATTCTTTTTTTTTTATTAATGATTTTTTTAAAAGTAAAAGTAAAAGAATAATTTTAGTAGCAATAATCTAAATTAATACATTTCTCCTCATCATTCAATATTTACTTTAGTAAACATATTACACTTACTTTAAAACATTATTCTGGTGTATACATAATTTTCTTAATTCTCTCTCCGTCCATTGATCTTCCATAGAATATTTTTTTTTAGTTTCATCATGATAGTTCTGTAGGTCTCGAAACAATATTGTGAGTTTTACTGCCATGTATCGATACTGCGCCGTTAACATTAATACTAAATGCATCATGTACACATCCACGCCAAATTTCTTAAGAAATAAATAACTACTTCCAATTGTCATAAAAATGGTTGAAAAAATTAGAACGCGACTGGAAAATGGTTCGCTGTTGAAAGCGGTTGGCAAATTGTAATCTACATAATAAAAGATGGACTTCTCGAAGACCAATAAAATCGGCTGGATAGTCCATGTCGCTACAGTTACTACACCAGTCACTCCATATATTATGAACGGCATGATTATGGGTTTTATAGCCGACTTTATAATATCCTTCATAATTTCGTCCGCATTTTGCAGGATATCGTTCATCTTCTCGATTATTTCCTCCATCAGCTTCTTACGTAGATAAAGACGCGTAAGCATAAAAGATGCCTCCAGGATAATCACAACAGCGATAGTCCCATCCTTCAGACTCTTCTCTTTCGGTGCAAGGACCATCCCGACAATCAACGCGATCGTATGAATAAGTTCTATTAACCATACGGTAACGCCATGAATGCGCCAGATTACTGAAAATCGCGAATTATCAGATACTATTGGTAATAAATTCCCCGATATCAAATTCACTTGATTGTTTAAAAAATTGGCATTTTTAAAATCCATTCTTTTCGTGTCGTATATTCGTGATGATCTAATAAAATATTTCGAATACGACATGTAAGAAATGGAACCTCAATTGTTCGTGATTCCAATATCTGTCTCACATGTCGCTATTGCTTCTTCTTTTAATAAATGAAAATGAATGAGTTTTCCTTTATTCTAAAATTACATTTAATTCTACATTAAGGAATTTATTATTCCTTTTATTTCTCCCATCTGTTGTTAATACACAATATAAGCAGTCATGTCATGAAGGACGACATTTCTCTTCTTTCATTCTCTTTCTTTATTATATTTTGACTTCTAATCATTGTACAGATATATTAAGTATTAAATATTACCGGACCATATCTTTAACGAAGATAATTTTATAATGTTCTGTATTCTATTGTATTCTATTGTAATGAAAATATAGAGAAGCTTGTAAAGATCACTATACTTGATAGTTCATTGAATGTGGGCTTATATTTTTTGACTCTGTTTATCGAGAGTATAAATAATTATTAAGTTCTTTATAGTTATCCCTATACTGTCGCGGCAATTATCTTATACTCCGTCAAACATTATAGAACCATTGGAACCAAGAAGCTTCGTAGAACTTAATACTGTCTAATACGTCAATCGGTGAACTGCGATATATAATAACCAACAGTAGATGAATTATAAATATTACTTTGAAGCCTTCACAATACTAATTAATCTATATATTTTCATTTTTGATCGACTTTTACGGTAAGTTTAAAAAAAATAAAACCTAAGTGTATTTTTGTATAATAATTAGTACCAAGTTATAACACCAAAAAAATGCTTTATTTTATTCAAACGTTTGAAGTAATACATATTAGTTGTATAGAAAATTTGATGTAAATAACTGGAGCTAAGTCCAAGCATTACTACAACTTGGCGAGGGATTTTACTTTCCAGTATGCAACACACAGAACATCATGATTGAAACAATTAAAAACATAGAATATAATATTTTTTAATTAAAAATAATGCTAAAGATTTTAGAATTAATTTAATCATCACTTAAAAAAAATCATCACTTAAAAAAATATGTATAATAGAAAAAAATTTTCAGAATGAAAA